CCAACCTTCAAATAATCATGTTCAGTTATGCACTCAATACTTGGTCGGGAATCCTTTTGCATGAATGACTGCTTCAATGCGGCGTGGCATGGAGGCAATCAGCCTGTGGCACTGCTGAGGTGTTATGGAGGCCCAGGATGCTTCGATAGCGGCCTTAAGCTCATCCAGAGTGTTGGGTCTTGCGTCTCTCAACTTTCTCTTCACAATATCCCACAGGTTCTCTATGGGGTTCAGGTCAGGAGAGTTGGCAGGCCAATTGAGCACAGTAATACCATGGTCAGTAAACCATTTACCAGTGGTTTTGGCACTGTGAGCAGGTGCCAGGTCGTGCTGAAAAATTAAATCTTCATCGCCATAAAGCTTTTCAGCAGATGGAAGCATGAAGTTCTCCAAAATCTCCTGATAGCTAGCTGCATTGACCCTGCGCTTGATAAAACACAGTGGACCAACACCAGCAGCTGACATGGCACCCCAGACCATCACTGACTGTGGGTGCTTCACACTGGACTTCTGGCATTTTGGCATTTCCTTCTCCCCAGTCTTCCTCCAGACTCTGGCACCTTGATTTCCGAATGACATGCAAAATTTGCTTTCATCCGAAAAAAGTACTTTGGACCACTGAGCAACAGTCCAGGGCTGCTTCTCTGTAGCCCAGGTCAGGCGCTTCTGCCACTGTTTCTGGTTCAAAAGTGGTTTGACCTGGGGAATGCGGCACCTGTAGCCCATTTCCTGCACACGCCTGTGCACGGTGGCTCTGGATGTTTCTACTCCAGACTCAGTCCACTGCTTCCGCAGGTCCTCCAAGGTCTGGAATCGGCCCTTCTCCACAATCCTCCTCAGGGTCCGGTCACCTCTTCTCGTTGTGCAGCGTTTTCTGCCACACTTTTCCCTTCCCACAGACTTCCCACTGAGGTGCCTTGATACAGCACTCTGGGAACAGCCTATTCATTCAGCAATTTCTTTCTGTGTCTTACCCTCTTGCTTGAGGGTGTCAATGATGGCCTTCTGGACAGCAGTCAGGTCGGCAGTCTTACCCATGATTGTGGTTTTGAGTAATGAACAAGGCTGGGAGTTTTTAAAAGCCTCAGGAATCTTTTGCAGGTGTTTAGAGTTACGTCGTTGATTCAGATGGTTAGGTTAATAGTTGTTTAGAGAACCTTTTCATGATATGCTAATATTTTGGGACAGGCATTTTGGGTTTTCATGAGCTGTATGCCATAATCATCAGTATTAAAACAATTAAAGACCTGAAATATTTCAGTTGGTGTGCAATGAATCTGAAATATATGAAAGTTTAATTTTTATCATTACATTATGGAAAATAATGACCTTTATCACAATATGCTAATTTTTTTAGAAAGACCTGTACATAGTTGTTGTAAACTTTTGATAAGCTGTTTGCATTAAAGCTGATATAAATTGTTCCTTAACTTTACAATAGTGATGAGAGTGGTAAATAAAGTTGTGATAATGGTAAACTAGGGGAATGTACTTTGGAATGAATGGTCCCATAAAGTTTTGGATTTTTGTATATTTTAAATATGATTGGGTCATTCTAAAAGCCAACACATCCCCAGAAGGCTCCAGTCAGCCATGTGTCTGTCTGTTCCAGGTGAGGGAGTGGTTCGCTGAAGTCCAGCGACGTTTGGACGTGGGATCAGATCCCTTCCTGGAGCCGGAGGCAGGAAGAACCGATGGAAAGATATCCACAAAGGATGATGGAGAGACGCAGGGCGAGAGGTCAGCATCCACCGAGGAGCGAGCTGGCCCAGGACGAGGCGATGAAGAGGATGATGATGAAGAGGATGATGATGATGAAACAGACGACAGCGAGCTCTGGGAGCCGTCCCGCAGCGTCAGGAAGAGTTTATCCGTTTCTGAGGACTAGTGATCGTCACCCCGCGGAAAAAAAAATGGGCTGTTACAAAATCAGTGCTGTAAGACAGTGAACTGAGAAGTTATGATTTAATTTAGTTTTTGACACTGATTTACACAAACAGTCACTGTCTGACTGTGTGGTAAACATTTTTAAATCAAGTCCACGCGACTCTAAAACACAAATTATTAGCTTTAGCTTGTTCACTTTCCCAATGCTGTTAGGAACATTTTAATAAGAATCAAACTTTTATAAGCAGCTGCTAAACAGGAACTTGTTCTGTCTTCAACCTGAGCGAGGGTTAAAATCACTATATTTATCCCAAAACCAATTAATTCTTCTTTAAACAATAGTTAATAATAATAATAATAATCAATGTGTTTGGAAGTTTTAAAGTCCAACATGTTTTTCAAAGCTTGAGTAAAAGCAAAATCAGAATCTAAGGAAATGTCTTGTGTTTACGTGGCGCTGAATCTGACCTCACTGTTTTTATTGATCTTTGATTTAGTGTTTTTAGCTGGTCTCAGATCAGACCTGTGTGTTGAACTGAGTCAGACTTTAGGCTCAACTCGCTCCTAAAACTTGAATCTGATTAAAAGTCCTTTGTAATTTATGAGGTTGGAATAAGTCGACATCCCTACTCAGTTCATCCCAGATGATTTACCCCCCCCCCCCCCCGACCCCCATCAGTGTCCTTAGAGCCCCAACAGCTCAGCTGCACCGTCAGCAGGATGTCTCCTGTATGACTTCAAAATGCTGAATTTAATGTTTGTGACCTAATCACAGTTCAGAGATGACCAAATTCTTTATCTGCCTAACATTAATTTGTGTTTTTTGAATCAAAGCACTTTATTTTGTTCAGAAAAGTTCATTCTTGTTTGTTTTTATTTGATCAGATCTGACATCTCTCAGTATAAAATACTCTGTTCTTTGTTTGCTGAAATGAACCTATGAGTAACTTATTCACATTAATGCTGAGAGTGGATTAAAATCCAAACTGATCAGGCAGATTATTGACAGAACAAGGAGCTTTTCTCTCAGTTTAGTTTGAGATAAATGTGACAGAAAGAGTCCCTTAACTCTGATCCAAAAGCCAGTTTTATAATGCTAATAAATACAAAGGATTATTTTTAAATTATCTTTATATTTTTAACCTAACACTTGGAAATCAGAAGGAAAAGATGGCACATAATGTGTTTAACATGAACGTGCATGAAAACTCCAGTTCATTATTCTGATTTTATTCGAGCAGCAGGAATCTTGTGCCAAAGTGTTGCCTCGTGAGCAGCGAGCTACAACAATCTGTAAACTCAATCATGTCCTGAATTTACTGAAATCCTAAAACAGAATGTTTCTGCTGCAGATCCAGGCCGGACTGTGAGTGAACCGATCCACAGGTTCTGACCCGTTCTGTAAGAGACACTGGTTAACAAGTTCTAATCTGAACCCGTTCTGCACTGAAAAGAAAAACTTAAAGCACCTAAAAACTAAACTTAAAAAATGCACTTTTTCCACTCGGGTTTGAGGTGGAATAAATCCTGATTAGGCACCTTAGTCTCACATTATACCATGAAACGGCTCCGAGAGACCAAATGTGTTTTTGTATGACTAAACTAAACAGTATTTTGCCTTTTTTTTGTTCTATTCTTGGTGTTTCACGATGAGTGTGTCAAATTTTGTAATGATATCCAGTTTGTGTTTCATGACAGACATTTAAAACAATCATGCACCAGTTTCTTGCACCAAAATGAGCCCCGTTGTTGATAATTTGCCAACTTGAAAAAGCTTAAAGCTTGTGTTTGTTGTTTGTATTGCTTTAATTGGTGGGAGCTGTTTCTGCCAATCTCTCCCCCCCCCCCCACCACCACCACTTTTATTCCTTCTCTGGCCTTCTTTTGTCAAACGAATGACTGCACTCATGATTTTTTTGCACCTTGTGGAGACATTTCTGTAAGTTGTAAACGGGGAAACTCGTCGGTTGTTTGTCTCCTGAGATTTGCTGACACAAACGGTTCAATGAATGCCTTTTAGAAAACGGAAAATCCTTCACAAAAATTTTGGAAGACCTCTTCTCTTAAAAAGTGCTTTTTTCTGTTCAAAGGAACAGTTGTGATAAAGAAACAGCACAACCTTCCCCTTGTGGTGGGAAGTCTTCCAAAGACAGATCGATGGACTGAATCTTGTCTTTGCTGGTAAACCATTGTGCCTCCATGGCTCCTAGATCTGTTTGGACATCAGAAACCTTCATGAAGGGCACGTGTTGGAGCTAAACCCACTGAGCCCTACGCTCCACTGACATCAAGAGAAACTTACAAACTGAAGCTGACTTCACATCTTATCCCTTAAGTGGATTTATTTGTGTTTTTATCACAGCAGTTTGGTACTTCAGCCTCCGTGGCTGTCGTTTAGTTTGGGTTTAGGAACACGTGGAGAAGCTGGATTTTACTGTAGAGACAAGTACCTAATGAAAAGAACAACTTGAAGAAGTTAAAGTGTACTTGTGTGATAAACTGCATGCAATAACCAGAACCAACAGCTCGTCTTCTGTAGGTTGGTGGATTTGGAACAGTCTGATCTGGACTAAACTGGTTTTATACCCTCAATAATACCAGATACTTTTATTACAATGTTGGCTCCAACTAAAGTTTTTTTTTCCCCCCATGTGTTGTCTGTGACTTTAGAAATAGTTATCAAGGTCTAACTTCAGTGTGTTCAATTTTAAAATATCTAAATTTCCATCTTTTCACAGTAAGACTGTAAAAACGATTTATAGCAGAACTTTTTGTTTGGATCAACAATGTGTCGTCATTCCAAGTTTTGTCATTAAACAGAACTTTGGGCCCTTTTATAAACTGTTTTTTTTTTTTTTTGATGGTTCTGTCCACAGGTTGGCCCTAAAGGTGTCCACCTCGGTCCTTTACTGTCTGCTTTTTCTTCTCATCATAAACTGTCCTGGAGGGTGTTCTGTCATATCTTTATACAACATCAGTGGAATGATCGTTAACTACATGTACAATAAAGTTGTGCTTTAAATTAGACTTTTAGGATTGATCAGTGTTAAAGTTGTTTCTTTTTGTTTTTGGTTGTAAAATAAACCTGTCAGAATGTGATTTTTTTTTAAAAAGACTAACTTTAGTGCAACAATGGTAAAACAACAAAGAATGAATTCCTTGATGAGTCTGGTCTTTTTCTGACAAACGCATTCAATGTCACAAATATTCTCTAAAGTACTTGTCAGAGCTGTTCAGATATGTTTGCACTGGTTTTAATAAACGTAGGATAGTAAAAATTTAAGTCTTGTTTTTAACATAACTTTTTACAAAAATAATCAAATCAAATAAAAATGATTGTCATAAATATCGTTTAAAACTATTCAAACTGCAGCCATTTTTTTAAAGCTTCATAACCGTTTTGACAAAAAAAATCAAAGAGACTGTTCTCTCACTGAAGTACTCAACTGATTAGCAAAATTAAACCTTACGTGAATGATAACCCAAACACACCAAATTGAAGTACGCTGGTGAAGATTCTCAGTCATCCAGGACATAATAAATAAAAAAAAAACGTTCAATACAAAACAACTGGACTTTATTTGTAACGGAAGACGTTTCGCTCTGAAACTGAAGTACCTACAGGGTTTGTTACCATATCTCTTCATTTATAAAGCACTTAAAAACAGCAACAAGGCCAACCAAGGGCTGTACAGTAAAACAAGCAAAGGACACAGGATAAAATGCATAGATCCAAATAGGTAAATATAAGAACTAAATGACTAACATTATAGAATACAGACAAGTTAAAATCAACTCGCACATTGTCAAAAGCCAGGGAATAAAAGTGAGTTTTCAAACAAGACTTAAAAACTGTGATAGAGGGCGTCTGCCTGACATGTAGTGGTAACTCGTTCCATAGTCTTGGACCTGCAACAGAGAAAGCCCTGTCACCTCTGAGCTTAAAACAAGTGTCTGGAACCAGTAAAAGCAACTGGTCTGCTGATCTCAGAGAGCGCTTTGGGACATATAGCTGCAGCAGATCAGCAAGATAGGAGGGGGCAGAACTGTTCACAGATTTAAAAACATGAACCAGGAGCCAGTGAAGGAAGGCCAAAACTGGTTATGTCTCTTTTGTCTGTACCAGTTAAAAAATGGGCTGCAGCATTTTTGACCAGTTGTAATCATACAGTAAGAGGTCTGACAGATTCCAAAAAGAAGCGTGTTGCAATAATCAAGCCTGGATGTTATGAAAGCATGTATTACTGTCTCAGGGTTACTTTTGGACAGTATGGGCTTCAGTTTAGACAGTCGACTCGCCTCAACTGAAACAAAAAAAGCAGGATTTAATAAACGTGTTTACATGACTGTTTAATTTCATGGAAGGGTCCATTATCACTCCCAGATTAGTGACAACTTGTTTCTCTAACGGGGCTAGAGAGGAAAGGTTAGTACAGTGTTACATCCTGTAATACTTCTTGCTTTGTGTGGTGTTCAGTTCAGATTATTCTTGTCAGTTTATTTCCTGAATCATGATATTAATCTCAGTGCTCGTATCGGTTAGTGCTAACTAAATAATCTGACCAGCGGGAAACCTTTAGGACCTTCTACATCTTCAGAGAAGGCATAAGAATTCAGCACATATGAAATGTTACATTTAAATATTTATTTAATAATAGTTTCATATAAAATTAATATTTTCAATATTGTTCTTGTTATTCTTTGCCAATTTTTCTTAATTCCTGTAAACTATGCACAATTATCCAATCAGGTTCTTTTAAATTTGCGTCTCCAGGCAGAAACATGTTTAAAGGGTCTTTCTCATTGGTTAGGACTTCACAGTCAGGAGAGAAGGCTCAGCTCAGTCAAAGCCTCCTCAGGATGAGTTTGGTTAGTTTTCCTCTCAGTTCATTAAACATCACAACATCGATGTAAGGTGGGCAGGATCAAACGCGGAGCTATGAGCCTTTGGGAAGACCCTGCAGGCATTTTTTTGACCACATAAATCTTTGTAATACATTC